TCCGGGCACCAGGCGACCACGGAGCGCGTCGCTTCCCGGGGACGCCGTAGCATTGTTTAGGTTGACAGTACTGGCTTGAATATTTGTCATTCCGGGCACCAGACGGCCACAGAGAAGATCCACGCTCGCCAGGAATCCGTTCAGTCACTTTTCCTGTACTACCAAACCGAACGGACTCTTTGTGTGGAAAGTGAGCAAAAACTCTACGTCCCCAGCCATTTTTGCCTGGAGGTCATCCTTCAAGTGAGATACACTAGCTTTGTTGCGAATGAGACTCTCCTTGTGCCAATTCTATAAGAATATCTCGGGTCACTCAAAAAGATATCTGGGGTGGTTTGAGTATCTTCTCTGTCCTCAGGCCCAAGAACTCGGTCCTCGATCCGACGCCGCTGCCGACATGAGGCCGTTGACAAGATTAGGTCTCAGTCTGCTTCAACTCATTCCGTCACGGCGAGATGAACGTGATTCCTGCATCTTTAGTCTTTGGTCCTCGTCATTGCGAAAGAGTGCGTAGTAGTCTGCTGCAGTTCGTCGCGCTCGGAGACTTGTCATTCTCCACATCACTGATGCTCGAAAAGCGAAATAATTAAATATGCATGTTCTCTGTATTAAGGTACTAAACAAAATAATTCCCTCAAGGTCTTTCACCCATCCTTACCCCCAACTGAGACATGGGTGGTCGAAGATTCGCGAGACTTTGAATTAGATGTAGATGACTTTCAGTCACTGTGGTAGGATATAACGTTTGAGAAAAGAGGGCTAGTCATGTCATCAGCGTAGTGGCTCCGCCAACAATCTGTCCTCTTCACGCATATTGGCGGATAACGCCCAGCCAGAAATGTTGGTCTCCTTCAACCCCAACTAGAGGAGGCGGAGGAGGTGGATTAAAAACTGCAAAGCGGTGTCCCAACTAAAGTTTTTAAATGCCCTCAATGAACGTCTGTCTGTTAGTTATGTCCCATTTCCTGGCGAAAGTGACCTTATCCTAATCATCCAGCATCTAGTAACTTTCTCATATGGCGCCGAGTTTGAATCTTTGCGAAGGGCCGGTTTTGTCTAAGTACAGCGTTTTCTCACCCGCAGTGATTGAAGCCCTCAAATAGTGTCCTTACGGGTACCGAATGAAAATTGTAGCTTGCCCACGATGTCCTCTGTTTTGCAACCATTTTATACCATGTAAACCCCACTGTTAAGTGCATATGGTATTTCTATATGCGTTGTGAGAGACTTAGTATATCTTTAATTATACACTTGTTCATCTGGTGAAGTAATGTTAATCACGTATGGATTTATGAAGACAACGATCCGTCCCTCCAAATGTACCGGTCCCACTTAGAGCACCTACGACCTAGGCTGTCTTTCCAGGCTAAATTGAAAATCTGACTTTTCACAGTTCTTAAGTCTTCATCGCTGTCATGATCTTCAAAGTTTCTGCATGCCTACCTACCCGAATCAGTAGCAGCACTCGTCAATGATCTTCCTGAAACCTGGTCCGTTTTATCTTTTCCATTACCTGAAGCCTCACAATCCTTGTTTTTTTTCATAGCCCCAGTTGGACCCCGACTTGAACCAAAAGTTTGTTGATACCTTCGGTCAGAAGAAACATGCATTTGCAGAAGCTCGTGTCTTTCATCCGGGCACAGGAAAGTTCACTGTTAACGAAAAACGCCTTCTGGAATTCTTTCCGGAGTTGGGAAACCGCGAGCAACTGATGTTCCCTCTCCAGCTGACTGGTTAGTGTTATTTGAAACCCATCTGCTGTCCCTTTTATTTCGTTGGTAGTCTTCACAGCGCCTGGGGTTAACCTGTGGCTAATAATCTGGGCATATTCATTTCAGTCGCTCTTGTCTTTGTCGGCGTCCCTTTACTATTGGTTTTTGTATGATTATCTATCCCAAGCCGCAACGCGATGATCATGCACAGTACAGTAGTCGCCGGTTATTAAGCCCACGGTTAAGAGGCCCAGCCGCGTATTAAGCCCAAATCAGCTTGGGACGGAATTTGAT